AACATTTCTTTTTTCAACATAGAAAAAGTTTATTTTTTTTTAATTTATTGTTCGTCATTTTATTTCTTCTCAGGAATTTTCGTTGTGTTCAAAATGTTGTTTAACATGATATGTATTTGTGTGATAATGACTTTTTTCTCTTAGTGTGTATATGGTTCTCATATAAAAGAAATTGAACTAATCTCTTCATTCAGTTTATTCATTTGGTGATAAAATTCCAATTCTTTTAGATGAATGAATCACCATCATCAATCAAAATGGAACAATCCGATTCAAGATATTTTTCACAACGAGCAAAACATATTTCGTTGTTAAACAAACAATCTCCATCTGTATTTGTTAAATCGTCCTTATCAGAAACCTATTTTCAATTTTCTAATCGAACCTACATGCCCATAACAGATACTCAACTGACTCCAGTGGGACGTGGTCATGGTAATTCAATATCAAATGATCATCGTCAAACTATTAGTACAGGTCGAGGTCGAACAACAGCTCCTTTATCATCATTTGTATTGCAAAAAGACAATCTTTCGCCACCATCAACTACTACTACCACTATTTCATCACCAATATTTGTTATGCACGATGAAGTACAATTTGTTCGACCATATTTTGGACCACCTAGTAATAACGATATACAATCATCATCGACATCTAATAAACGAGAAATTCTTCTTTCAGCATTGAAAGAAATTGAATCAGGTTTAAAAACATTATAAGTATGTTTTCGTTTGTTTCTATGAAGAATAGTCGATTGTCCGATTCTCAAGTTTTTTTTTGTTGTGCAAGGTATCAGATAAGATATAATTAAAAAGTGTGGCATCTATTTTTTTTTTGCATTGGATATTTTGTGATCGAAGAACATTTTGTTCATATAGGAATTGTTTTGTTTAGAAGTGTTATGAATTATGTTTGTCAATTGTTTTGATTTTGTTTTTTTGCTAAGAACGTGAAACAGATTTTTGAATGAAAAATATCGTAATTGAAACTCTGATTTTTCTGTAGATAGATGGTTAACAATGCAACGAGTAATTTAAAGAAATGAATTTTTAAAGCTTGATTTATAAGTCTTTATTGAATGTCATAAGATTTCTAAATAACATTAGCATAGCTTTTTTTTACAGGTTTTTATGTTAAATGCTGTAAATATTACAAACATTGGGGTGATTATTCATTGTACCCATGTATCTATCTATATCGAGCTCATGGAAAAAAACTTAAGAATGAAATAACTACAAATGGCTCATAATATTTATGAGTTTTATGTAGATAACAACACAAGCTTCATTTAAATTACTTATTGTTTTGTATGAACTATGTTGTTGATTCTCATTGCTTTTCCCATCAGCATCAATTACTTTTATATCGATTGAGAAGATATTTGACTTTTGCAACTGTCACTTTCATATTTCATTATAAAACTAACAGTTACTTTTATATAAACACTAATAAGAAGAATTCTTTTCAGCGAAATTAGACAAAAGGTTCAATTTTCGAAAGTTGATATATTTTTCAGATCTAAGTATGATTGAGATTTCTTCAAAACTATGATAACGAATGTATAAATGAAATCGTTTCAAAGATGCAATTCAATCGGTTGTACCATAAATGGAATCACTCCTGTTGTTCAACAAAAATTAACTAAGATCTCTTAAGAAAACAAAGAAAGCGTACGAGACAAAAAAATTGCTTTTTATCTATAAATACATCATCATTCAAATAGATCTGTAAATATATCTATGTTAAAGACAGTGAACAGAGAAAATAGACAATAATTAGCATTTTTTTAGTCTATGACATAAATCTAGACGGAAAAAAGTACAATATGTATCATTCATATAACAGTGATGATACTATATATTAATGTTTGTGTTGGTATCACTTACAAGGTAGAAATTAAATTGACATTTGTGTTCAATGATTTTCTGGATCCTTTGGGGATGGATTTTTTTTCAATTGAAAAATAGTTCGTTAATCAATTTATTGTATTCAGTTCAAAATGATTACATAAAAAACTTATGATAATATATCAAAATAAGAGAGGGAGAGATCATGACGTCGATGTTTATTAGCAGACCAAAAGGAGAACACCTGAGCAGGATTTATACAACAGAAAGAAAGAGAGAAATGATATGTATGAGATGGCACACTGGATGACCTATTACTTTACGGACTATAACAGTTTAAGGACAAGCAACCATTTTCTTTATTGAAAAATAGATGGTTTTTTTTGTATTGTTTGCTCTCAAAAGATAGCAATAGGTGAATATACTCAATTGATAAAGCCCATGATGTAATGTTCTTAAGAGTTGTAACTCTGCGATGCAGTCGTTATAGAGAAGAAAATTGCACCATTGGATAGTGACAAAATGGAGAAAATCATTTTTGCTCTCTTATTCAGGATGAATTTCACATGATTTAATGAACCGAAAATATGGTTCAGTAATGAAACTACCATTAGTACTCATATCGATAATTATACTGACTTTTGGTGCAAGACACACTATGGTTTCGAGCGTGGCAGTAGTCATTTTAACTATAAGTACTGCCTGAAGATCAGTTTTTTTTACAGAAAACGTGAATATACAAAGAAAGTAATATCCTCTCTATGATCAAGGTGATTGGATTTTATGTATTGATCAAAAGAATTGGATCAAATGTAGAGTGGAATATGTTGATAGTCAACAATTCACTATTGTTGTGGTAACTGATATTGGTTGGTCTGATTAGAAAGTACTTTCAATCAAGGCACTTGAAGTTTCAAAATTAACAGTCAAAGGGGAAGAGGACGCCGTACATATTGAATTTGTTGAAGATGAAGACGAAATTTTAAAAATGATGATGTTTTCTTATTTACCAGTGTTTGACAGATTACAACCAATGATGGTTGAAAATCATGTGCGCATCTTCCATTGAAAATGCACAACGATTTGATGTTACTTTTAAAGGTCTTACTATTGTGGCTGTGTGGGATGTGCTATCATTACATGATTCTTTATCTTTTCTTTTCTTTCTTCCTTTGATTCTATTTCATGAGGCCATTGTTTATTACAGTAGCATGTCACATTTGAATATAAATGCTAGACTTTCATATATGAGAATTATGCTCACAGCTAGAATTCAAAACATAGAAGAACCTTATTAAATACAATTTAGCATGGAAAATCTCAATGAGGAAATTTTTTCTGAGCGTCAGACATTTCTCCAGTATGCCTCTCCAGTTTCGGATGCATTGTTGTCATGAATTCGTTATTTGAATTGATTTAGTTCTTGATCATCGTCTGCTGTTAACTGTAATCTTACTAGCCACACTCCATTCTTGATATGTTCAATGACACGAATGCAAAATATGGTGTATATTGAGAAGATAATCTCGTGTTCATGTTCCTTCTCTTGAAAAAAAAAGTCAAAATGTCAAGCAAGGCAAACTTACTTGAAGAAATTCGTCGGATTATTCTTCCATATCGAGAAAAAAAATCCCTTTGAATTGTCGATCGCAAAACAGTTCTCATCAGAAGCTAGTTGGACTCTTGTTTGTCGGCCATCGTCAAGAGAAAACTATTTGACGAAAGAACGACATCCAGAATTTTATTGTGATTGGCCAAATTCTTGTCGAACATGGTAATGTGAGAGAGAAAAAAAGAGCATAGAGTAATTCTTTCTGAAATGCAGCACACCTCGTCATTCTTTCCACTACTGAAGTACACTGTGCAAGAATCAGTGTGGAATAATAAACCCTACACGAAATTTTCATCAACTCTTCAAGCATTTATGAGAATAAGTGATAAAACTTTCAAGATTTTATTGTCTTTATAGCCGTGCAAGAGTATATGAGATTAATAAACCCTTGTGTAAGACCTATTATTCTATGCTTTTTTCACAATGTAGTAGTAACGAAACCTTATCATTCTAAACTTTATTTTAAAACTTGTAAACGAAAAGTAGTAGGGGCTGGTTTCTATGGTTTCAGAAGCCTTTGTGAAATTGTAAATACGGACAAGACAGTTGGTGTCTCTAAATACTGATTTAATCGTCAGTACATCTCTTGAAATAGTCAAAAAATGATGACACCTAAAAGTGATCAAAATTTACCCTGAACTGCGGTATGTTTTTTCAATTTTGTAGTATTTTTTACAGAGTTTTTGTGAATAGAATTACATGAGTATCACTTGTTGAAAAGCACTTGATTTTTAGTTTCCTAATGTACATCCAAACTATTGAGGAATTAATCTTGTTCAAACGAATATTGGCCTTTTACTTGAAAGTCTCAAATAGATGAGTGAAGATGAGCATGAGTGGACTGGTAAAATGCGATTGTATGAAGCTAAGCCCAATTCACTCTCACAGCCATTCGTTCATCAACGTTAGATGAAAGAAAATGTGGAAATCTTGGGTCGAAAATGACGCGTCGACCTACGTTTTCATTCAATGAATCAGTCATTGATCAGTAGGACTGTGTTGTTCACATGTACATGTGATTCATTTTTGTAAAAAACCTTTCATTTCTTCCTTTTTTACTTGAGTATGCCAACATTCTAATCAGAGAACGCATTACGTGTTTTTTTTTTACTTCTTCTGTACGCCAATCGTTGGTTATCTTTTTATACTCGATGGCTTACTTACGCTTGGAATATTCCAATTTTAAGTATTGCGTAGTCAGGAAGCAACATTAATATACTGCGTTTTTAGAGATACAGCAAAGGCTACATGCGACAATTTTTTTTATCAATTACCTTCATTTTCACGTAAGAGCAAACACAGAACGAAGAACAAATATAGTAACGTACGCACAAATGCATACAGTGGGTTAAAAACACATCAATACGTAATACATGACACATTATTGAAGCTTGGATTGCATTTCGAGAAGAGAAAATGTATGTGCGTATAAAGTAATCTGATATATCACTTTCAGCTTAGACTTTGATCTTATGAGTACATAACGTTTAATTAATTGATATTTACTTCCTTTTTGTTTTTAATCTCGAAGAAAAACTATGGTATTAAACGATGATCTCGTCAATCATGGCATGACTATTCATCATGGTAAACATTTTGACTTCTGTCTAATCGATTTTCCTCTTGTCCATTCAAATGCACCGTTGGCTGTTCGATCTAAGTGCAGGTAATATAATTCTTTCGACAGAAGAAACAAGATAAACATTTAACAATTGACCTTTTGATGGATCTAGGGACTTTCGTGATAATCTCATTCGAACATTTTCTGACGATGCACCGAATTGTGAGAATACACGACGTCCATGTAAGGAAGTTTTATTTTGAGATCAATTGCCTTTTTGAATAAGATTCTCTACCAGGCTACAAATGGACCATTGAATTCATATGGAGTACAATTATCGATGATGTTATTGTTTTTAATGAAAGTTTCAAAGCCGTATCAGTATGTTTTTGTCTATTTTAACTGTCAATTGCACGCGTGTTCTTCTAGGAAGGACATACTCTCATGTTCGTGTGCTTCGACAATAATATTTTGCCAAATCAACAAGATTTTTTAATTAACCAATATACCAATAGCGTCTTTTTTGAGTCGCATAATACTAATTCGAATAGTAATTGTGACACAATCTTCAACTATCTGCGTGAAAACCAACATAACGAGATCGTGCGACCGAAACGGGTAAGTATCGAACAGAATCTTATCTGGATATTGATAATTGATTTTTGCATAGAGGACACCAGATTATTCTTATCCACTGCGTCTTCATGCTAATAGCATTAGCAGTGGACTTGTTTTTAACTATTTCTATTCCTATCTCAATCGACAAGTTGGCTCAAGTAAAACCAGATCGAATTTTTCTAAGAATACACCAATTTCTAGTATTTCACGTCACAGACAGCATATTTGCAGTATTAAGAGCTTCCGTTCTAAAATAGGTATCGGTTTCCAATGGAATGATTGAGCTGAAAACTTATAAAGAAAAGAGATTGGTTTAAATTGAAACATACCAAAAGTTTCAAACAATCAGAGTTTTCAGAAAAATACTTCAAAATTAGTAGCTATCGTGTAAAATGAGTCCAACCTTTAAAAAATTTGCCTAACATTGCCAGGGGTGGTTTTCTTCGATGGATAAATGAAGACTGAAGAAATTTTATGGCTACTCAAGAAAAAAAAATGTTTCTAGGATGAGAACACACAAGGCAAATCATGATGAGAATATCAAAATTGATACTTAAAAAATTCATTAAATATCAATATCTAGACTTAGAAAACGTTACGAAGCTATAATGAACATCTTAATGTAACGAGAAAGCTCTTATCTATGTATCTATAATGGTTAAACTAGATGCGAATGCCTTTCAGACAGTATTCAGTAGAACTTTTTCTGTCTGATTAATATTTATGACTTTCGTGAAAACAAGCATTCATTCATAGAAACAATTGAGTTTTATTCTCTTAATCACAGACTCAATAAGAACACATTTTGGGTCATCATAATATAAAGATTTTCTAAATTAGAAAATGTGCATTTCTAAGGCGAGAAATCTCAACAATATCTGATTCTAACCAAGTTATCGTATGAGGTTTGATCAATTTTAATTTCTGTATAAGAAAAGAGTGTCCAAATCGATGATATATAATTAAACAATGTTTCGGATCGAGCAATTGAAACTGACTGAGTATCATGCGAAAACGTAGTCGGAGCCGATAGTTTTTAACACGTCATTAGACTATCTTTGATGTGAAATGTCTGGCATTGATGTATTTGAAATATTATCATTATTTTCCTCAATTTTTCATTCTTCTTTTAGCAAATAATATCTTTCTCACATTCATTTTCAACAGAAATATAAGTCGCGAAGCATTTCCCTCAAGTATACGTGTTGTGTTCGAAGCGTGGATCGAAAGCATCTACCTAGACACATGTCCTTCAACGATGCCGGAAGAATCACTTTTGCAATTACAGTCGAATACACTTGTATTTATATTTGATCAAACAAAATATGGTATTTCCAGTGACAAACAAACATCGGTCACTTATTTTGTAACTGGTGTAGGTGATTTTGGACAGAACATTGAAAAACTTTACATCTGGCAGGAAAAATTTGATCTTGAAGCTCTGATTTCCATCCAGCTTCAAGATGATGTACGACAGTGGAATGAAAAGTATCAACCTTGTTCAATCGATTACAGGTAAACAACTTTTGTTTGTTATATTGAATTTAAAATCAATTTTAGCATGAACGAACGACCACTAGCTACGTTCCAGGTGGAAACTTCTTCGACTGATCGTTATCCACGACAATGTCACTTATTTGCTATTGAAAATGTACCAGCTACCGTCGACCGGCAAGGAGGCAAGTTTTGAAAAGCTAACGACTAGTAAACTGTATTTATTGAATTTGAAGGAGTTAATACAATGAAGAAAACCACCAAAGATTGCTACGACACATATGAAGAATATTTTAAGAGTGTTAAACTTGAGGAAGACAAGAAAAATGCTGAAATTCGACTAGTGCCAGTCTACTATTTACTTGCACCTACATCGTGTAACTTTGGTCCGCCAGATACTGGCACTTCGATTGTACACAATGAGACGACCCTTCGAGGAACAATCATTGATCCAGATAATCCGAAGAGCATACATTTGGCCACTATAAATGGGTGCGTGCGTGTCTATGTCGTGTTTGTTCTTATATTCATTCTTTATTTTGATTACTAGAGAAGTGCTTCGATCTAGACCGATGCATCACTACAATCGCTATCTTCGTCGTACATTTTACTATATCGATGAAATCGACAAAAACAATAAGCTTGTTCGAGTAGGACAACGATCAACTATATCTCATATCAATAATTACTTCTCATCTGCCTAGTATCTATTTTGTGGAGAATATCCTTATATTTTGTCTATTCTTGGCCAATTGGAACAAAGTGGTCAAATAAGTAGGGTACAAAAGAGAGATGAATATTTGCGCTTCTGCAATATGCTCAATCGAATTCTTGCTATTGAAAATTTAACGGAATCAATCAAATTGATCCAAATTGATGACGAAGAGAGGAAAGAGACTACCCAGGTTGATCAAGATGATAAATACAACCAAGCTGATTGTACGTGTATTAAATTTTCTCTCTAATCTGAAAAGTAAAATGAATGTTTTCTTATCAATTTAGATGCAGATGCTAAATCATTATCGAGTTTGATCAAAGAAGATATCGATCAATGGTATGACAGCTCTGATATGTACGTGGCTGAACTTTCTGTGAGTCAAGTAATTCAAGTCGACGGATGTCGATTATTTTTTCCATATTCAGATTACTTCAATGATCCTTCAATCTCAAAAAAATAATCATGTAGTGTTCTTCTTTTTCAAGAAAACGAATAATGAGCAATTGATTATAGCACTGATCAAGTAACACTAGCAACTATTAAATTTTGAGTTTGCTCATTTCAGTTTAGAGATCTCAAAGAAAAATTGGAAGCTCATGGTTATGTCGTCGATGATGTTATTGACGATCTCAATTCAATCGAAGAATTAGAACAGATCATCTTTATTTGTACCGGCCACATGAATGATCATGATAATTATCAAATGATGCAAGCCGTAGGACGCAAGATCACTAAAGTAAATCATAGAACATTATAAATTTTATTTTTCATAATCATTTGACTAGCGTGGTGTACTACGTGATGTCTTTATTTTCATCAACGATGCTATTCAACATTTTTCGTGTCATCTTATTAAATCTGTTCCATATCTCACCTTTGATTTGCGCGTACGTACGGCTCAATTAACCGATGATGAAGTTCGAGAAGTGATTGATTATCTTAATAGTAAGATTCAAATTTTTCATTAGCTGATATCAATACATGATAATCAATATTTGACAGATATGAATATTCTGTCGGAGACTTACACGAATATGTTCGACGATGCTTATCATTCTGTTCAACAGACAGCTATCGTAGGTTTTCTATTCGAACATAAAATTATAAATGATTGATTCTGTTCTATTTCAAGCAATGTACAAGTGTTGGTGCAGGTTGTGCTGCTGCCTTTTATTTTAATTATGCCAAAATTCTGACATCTTCGCCTGGTAAGACTGGAGAGAATATGAATAGTTTGAATCAATTTTTTATCATGTGAATTTTAAGCTCATCAACAGCGAATAAAATTAATTCATCAACAGCTGCTCATAGAGAATCTTCTCGATTCTGAACAAAACAAAGCAATTTTCATCAGTAAATGGGTGTTTGTCATTCCATGGACCATCGAAAATTCTTCTCAACTTCTCTCTTACGGTCTATCATTGAATGAAAGCGAGCAAAAATCAATGGGGTTTAGCTTAACTTGCTGGAAGTCGGCGTGAGTTGATTTTTCTTTCCGATCCGTCTTCAAAAAAAAAAACATTCACTTTGCAGAAATACAAATTTCATCAGTCCAAACTTATCAATGACCATTGGTGGTGTCTTTCAACGATCATACAGTCCTCTAGTTATCTACAAACTCACGAATCTAACTCATGAAAAGGTGATTAACAGATAGAGAGAAAGTGCTTAATTGAACATTTATTACGATCCTCTTGTTCATTCAGATTATCTATTTTCCAATGGAGATACCGGCGGCTTTGCATGGTTTACAAAATCAATATCAGAATATCCTTTCTCATTTCAATTTTGGGACATTCGATCCATTGGAGCAAGCTATGACTTTTCGTAGAAAAGTTGAAGAACACAAAGCAAGCGAACCAGATGCCAAATGGCACGAGGACATTATCTTAGTTCCTCTGGATCGACCTTCAATAATTCCTGAAAACCAGTCAATCACGTCATTTCAACAAGCTGAAATTCTACTGAAGACATTATGGGAGCATTTGTCTTCGGCTTCATCAAACTAAGACTAATTTTGAACAAGCGATTGTTTTATAATTTTTGAAGGCACTAAGTATAATCATATGAGCGTATGATCGTTATAGGGAGAAGTTTTTGAATTAATCAAGCAGAAAAAGATACAATTTATCTTGAATTACATGAAACAAACGACTTACACTTGATCGTTTTCGATTTATATTTTTGTTAATATTGTTGAAGATTATTATTGCAACAAAAGGAAGATGAGTGTAGATGTGGGTGTGAGAGTAATCGATGTGAAGCTACTACAACAACATGACATAATGCTACAACCTTGGAAATCATTCTATTAGTTGTAGTTGGAACCGATTGAGAAAAGACAGTAGAGAGCTCATTTAACGCAAGCTCTTATTCTAACAATTGAACAAGTGTCATTTCCATCAAGAAATAATTTTTAAAGATATTAATCAATGCAAAGTAGTCTAAGATATTATTGAATACATGAATCTCTATCAGTAGACAATCTAACTGGTGAAATCGAAGAGGATTTATCCAAACCTTTGAATATTAAATAGTAACGTGGGCGATCTTTTGTCTGTCCTCAACAGTTTATTTCCACTTTATATGACCATTAGTCGATCAAGAATCTAGTAAGGTATCGATTACGCAAGTTGACTTTTCGCATCCGAAGTTCTCAAGAAAGAAATTTTTTTTAAAAACATTATTGTTTATATTAGTACCACGATAGTACTCATTACATCAGTATTCTTATGTCTGCATATGTTTATCTGAGTATGTATAGTACGTCATTCGATTCAACATCAAATGCACTATCATTCACATCTATTATACTTTTCAGGGAAACGATATGAAAAGAAAAAAGGACAATTATTATTTAATTGAATTATTTTTTGTTGAACTCTACATTTGGTGATACATAACTTTATTAAGAAGTAATTGTAGCTGTAACATAACATTGATTAGTTTCGAAGAATGAGATGTGTTATAAATATATATAGGCTGTCTATTTTTCTTTAATGCTGATTACTGACTCAAGTGTTCTATCGAATTGAGATGTATGTTACTGATTTTTATTTTGTTCTCGATATATTTTGTGCTACATCTCTGCGATTTTTGTTTGGTTCATCGTCAATTTCTTAATTGTTTTAGAATATCTGTTAGCTTTAACTGCATTTTAGTTTTAGTGTTTCTGAATTGTGCAGAAACCTTAAATGTAACTACAGTCCACTTTGCTAACTATGTCAGCAGGATATTTAGTCGTAGTTCCATCATCATAAATCATATGCAAATTATTTGATTGAACGGAGATTAAAATGAATAACAAAATTGAAATCTACAGTTGACGTTGAAAAAATAACTACAAGTCTAATTGACATATGGAAATCAGAAATAAGTTAAATGTGATGCGTATTGCCAAAGTGATCTGCGATGTTATTCTTCAAAGTACTATGGATACTAACTGTTATTTTTTACTTAAATGCGCTCGCAATAATGATCAACGTAGAGTAGGTTACTGAGTTTTTGAAAGAAAAAATTTTATTGTTTCAATATTTTAAGTTATTTTGATTTTTATGTAAGTTTATTGGTCATTGCCAGCAATATGAAGTGGAGAAAAATAAAGTTTTCAATTTAAACTTCCATTTGACTGATATCTCTCTGCATTGCAAGTGCTTCTGAAGAATCGATCGAACTCATTGTGACCAACACAACATCTTCAACTGGCATTTAGTTTATATTGTTTAGGTCTTTTATTTACAACATCCCAGATTGAGATGCACGCAAAGTAAACGCGTGCGAAATGTAAGAGCGCATAAGAATGCGTTTAATAGTGGTCGTTGATCTTACAGTATTGTAGCGTTCTTGTCCATTGCAATGGTCTATTGGATTTCAATCTGAATTTAGAGTAAAAAGAAGACACTTGATTTCATATAGAAATACAGAAATAGGGGGACTTATGAACTCTATATACATATGCGTATGTATATACCCCCTTCAAATGGTGGTAAATAGGTCATAAGTCTCCCAAGCCCCCTAGTCTGACCTTCCCAGAAAAGATGAGGTATATACATATGTGAGTGAATGAATAATTTTGATAACCTAGTGAGTGCACCATCGAGAAAACAGAAAGTACGAAGCGTGTTTATACATGTGTAGTAATGAGTCATTCGAAGCACGCTCTTAGAGAAATAAGCATATCGTTAACTTAGGATGGATGGGATGTTTGTGGTATATTCTTTGTATAATACATCAGCCTGGCTAAGGCTTCGTCAATACAGACGTGATTTTTTAGTCCCCCTAGACCTCCAGCGTTTCACGAAAGTGAGCGTATTTTTTTCTCCAAAATTCAGTTTGAAATTAAAAAGACCATAGAGTCAGGATGTGGTATATGGCCTTCTCTACAATAACATCGATACTTCACACTCACACCCTAGAGCTATTCATCATTTAAGTGGTTTTCGCAATAGATGACACTATGTTTCAATGCTTGTACAGTAAACAGTTGACTATTAGAGGTAAAGTGTAGATCGAATTTTCATTTAATATATGTACCTTGAATTCTATTGGTGTTCATGGTAGCTTCACATCGATGTGATGATGTGGACATGAGTGACAATGACACGTTCCTGATCCACATCGATACTTCCACCTTGATTTAATTTTTATTATCTTCTTCCTCTGATTCGTTCTCCTCTTCGACTATAACTAGATTTATTTATAGCAGTATCCATTTTCATTTGCTGTCAAGATAGCAGAAAATCTGTATAAATTAATAAAAGACTCTCACTGCCAATTCATCGTCTTGACAATTCGGATAGTTGTCTGATGACTAAGCTATTTGATCGATATTAGCGATTATCAACTGGCACTACGGATCGTACTTCTTACGACAAGGTTTTGAGAAACAATCGTCTATTTCCATTTGACTGTCCTTTTTATTCGCTACACACATTCGCAATAGAGATGACTCGACGATTGCATATCCATCAGCACCTTCACCAATCCGATCTTCACAAAGCATTCCACAAATGAGAACAAAAAAATGCTATCATTCTTCTCAATGATCTATAAAACAATACGTGCCTATTTCATTATAATAATTCCATGTTTTTGATAATGTGAATAATAGAATTTTATAGGCGTATCGAAAGGACTACCTAACGACTTATAACTGAAGCAGACTTACCAAAAACAAGGCTAATTAAGCACGTTGTATAACATATAAATTGACACAATTTTTACTGTGTGGTCCTACACTTCTTGAGTCAACCGTCTTGTTTTATTTGTTCTAAAAACCATAAAATTTTGTAGGCTGTCAAAAGAGCTATTCAGTAACCTATAATAAAAATTAACTCCCTTCAATTGACATATAGAAAATTGAACTGAATGGCTATAATATCATCACTATAGAATCCTAATACAACCATTCGAAATTCTGAAGTTCTTCAAAATAATACATTGAGCAGTTAACTCTCCAATGATAGTCTAGGACAAAATCTAGACCATCGATTGCATTTGGAAGTAGGTTCCACTTGCTTCACACTAATCTGCAGAAGAGTGTTGTGTCACATGTATGTATGTATCATTAATCTCAAGAGCTAATTTGGTATACTTCTGAGGATTAATTCATGTGCGAGGCATTTCTAAAATGTAATTACTTCAGCTATGACATTAACATAGCCGCCAATTAAAACCTTTTCATCCTTTTTATGATTATGCTAGGTTGAGTATGAAAAAGTTCTATGAGCCAAATCAGATTAATACATCATCGCTCTGTCATTTAAGTATAGTCCGTATTGGAGTTTTCAAAAAATGTAGAAACGGTCACAAATAATAAATCATTTCTTCTAAGAAAAATATATTCTTATAAAACATTCTTTGTTGTGATTGACATTGAATCAAGAAAGACTAAAATATGTGTAAAATAATAATAAATATTCACAGAATTTCTAGATAATCAATCTTAAAAATTATCATACAATGATACCTTTTCCAAATCCACTGTTCAAATGGTTTATATAGCGTCATTTGTAACCACAATCTGCCAGAGATACGAAACGAGTTGAACATCTTCTATTGTTTACATAATTGCATTGTTCGACTGTAATTTCAAATATTGAATGTTTTATATTAATCAATAAATAATTTGATTTCTATCGTATAATATTTTCATCGTTTCTTTCTGATTGTAGTTTAGAATAAAAGTCAAGATTCATCGTTAATTAAAGTATAAAGAATTATGAGCAGTAAACAATTGAGTGAAAACTAGTCAAGCAATATACTCCAATGGAAAGATGCTCATAACATTACGTTATAGTTTTAAAGGATGTTCTTTCCATTCATATTTTTACTGTTATTTAAAAATTGCTAGCTGCTACAGAAATAATAGATAGAAGAATAATACGCAAAAAACAAATTTTTATCATTAATTTGAGACGATTCACTAAATCAGCGGTGAACTAGAAAGATATTTAATTAGAGAAAAAAAAATTTAACTTTCACTCAAAGAAATCAGGCGACTTTGTAACCATAATATATTAAAGTCTCATTGGTAACTCTCTCCATCTGCTGACAGCCGACAGATATATACCATCCAATCCTTATTCAATTGAATCACTTTAGATGATGGAACGAGTGATGTGGCCCAGAGTGTAAAACATGGATAATGACTTTTAACTAAGAAAATTCTTTAAACTTGTCTCCAGCTACGCATGAAACTTTAATATTTATTTGTCATCAATTCTAGAGTGTTAATCATGGCTAGCACATCAAGTGATAGCCATAGTATTCTTCAAAAATTGATTAATAACTTGTCTAGCGATCTTCGACAATTATCAAATGAAACGAAAAAAAAATATCCACCAATTAAAGAAGTATGAGTATTCTTATTATTTATTTTAATTAATAATAATATATATTTTAGGCAGCGGAAGCATGTAATATGAAATTACGAGAATATAGTACTATGAAAGATAATTTGAGTACAGGTATTATTTAAATGTTAAGAATAATATAAAATTTAGAAATA